TAATGCGGATTTCCCTATAACGAAAAGATTTGTAATGCATGATTGCAATAAGAGTACGATACTTTTGCACAGCATAATGCACCTGCCTGGTCCGCATCTCCACACCGTCCAACCAGGTCGGCCGAGGGTCGTCATCGTCCACTGCAGAATCGTGGGAAAATTGGGAGAAGTCAAGCAGCTGCAACTACATTCAAGATTCTATCTCAGCGCCTCCTGTTGCGCAGGAGCCTATTATACTTATTACGAACCAGTGTATGTTGAGCACCCGCTGCAGAAATTGAAGTTGTTGAGAGCTCCTCTTTTACATGAACTATCGATGAGCTCTGGATATTAAAAACTTTGTGTCCTGGTTGACTTATATCAATTGCAAATATGTCTGGGTCTGGAAGATTGCCAGACTTGTCATGCATATTTTGCATGGCCCCTGAACCTGATGCCTGTAATGCATGGCCTAAGTAGCATCACATATTTCTAGAGGGCTTCCTGATGCCTGGTCTGCATGAGAAATGCCCTCTTCGTGTAGACCAAACTGGACTCCTCTTGCTGGTCATGCAATACAGATTTTTTTCGAATCCGAAGACAGCATCACAAGTTACAACCTTCCAGACCCAGACACTTTTGCATTTGATAACTTGAATTTTTTTCCATGTTGATAGACGAGGGAATCGACGCTTGGATATTGTGAGGAAAAATCCCCCCTCCCCATACCAAAGCGGGATAGTTCTGAAAATTTGTGATGCTGATTTGAGGCCACGAATCCTCTCTGTATTGCAAGAAGGCAAATCCAAAAACCCCGCTGCTTTCTGCAGGCAATTTGTGGTGCTATATGGCCTACGGAGGATAAGGATATGCCTGCCTTGCTTCTGGGTGCCTACACCAAAACGAACCTACTCCGGCTGTGTATCTGTCTGCACTCCTCTACTGTAAGACAAATCCGATTTGTGATGTACACAAATCCCGCATCACAGATTTCCGTTTCGATATGGGGACGAGGGGGGATTTTTCCTGTTGATATTGGATCTACTCCCTGATCTGGCTCGAAGCCTGCGTTCCGCAGTGCTTGTAGAATGTCAGTTATCACAAGAAAAAACTGTTTCACTGTGAACTTGTGATGCATGAAATGGAACACAGAACTATTTGTCTTGCTACACCTCCAACGCTTTGGGTTTCAAGCGTGTTTTCCCTTGGGAAGCGCGCATGGCAAGTTTTCTGTGTCATGTGTAGCAAACTTGTAATGCGGATCTTGCAAAACCATCACAGTGAAACAGTTTTTTCGTGGGATATCAGTGTGCCTGTCCTCGTCGAAGTCTAGCATGAATTGCGATGCGGGGTACCACGCATTCCCGGTGTGGTCGCCCTTTACCCAACCGCCCTCGTGCATGTGGATCGGATTCCCTTGGGCATCAATCGCAAAGAATTCCTCCTTTATTTCGAAAGTGAAGAGATTTTGTAACTCCCGGACCAGCACATTTTCGATAAGTCTGCTCATGCCCTCCGATGCGTCCTGCTGTAGCCACTGAGTCCC